TGAAAACGGTCACACTGTATGAACACTTTCACAACACGCTCATAACCCGTTACAGAACGGTGATGAAAAATGGAGAGCGGACTGACCGTTGCCGTTCAAATCGGGGTATTTATGGCAGTCGTGTCATGACGTCAGCAGTCCGGGGACTCGCTCACAGGACGCTCCGAGCGGTGAGGGGACGCTAAGTGACTGGTAGGTGGCTGCTACAAACCCGGTGCACACGTTCGAGACCCGGTATGGGCCCGGTATGGAAACGGCCAAAATTTTCAACAAAAAACAATCTGGGCGGTGAAGACGGTAGAAGCACGTTCAACACCCGGTATGCGCCCGGTGAGAACGGTCAGAAGATGGCAACGAAACGGTGAAAAGATTAATTTTATGAATTTTTTTTGCGGCCGGGGACAAGTTCGCTCAAAACCCAACGTTCTGGACGTTTTTTTTTTAATAGCCCGGCAGGTGGACGGTAGGCCTACACGGAAGAGTGTGAGAGCACCATAAGCTTTCAGGTAAAACAAACAAACCAACCATCAGCAGCATTTTACAATTTTTTTAAAGGGAATATTTATTTATTTACTCCACAAATTATGGAGATATGCCCTTCTCCCATGGAAATCTCTATAAATGAGTGGGATGAGACTGAGGAATGACCTTCTGCACTAATTATGTACATTGTAGATACACCCTTATGCAATGGACATCTACGGAAATGAGACCTCGAGAGATGGGTTGGGAAAGGACCAACATGTTTGTCCTGTATCACAGGCAAACCACAATGGCAAAGGTTCTCTACAAATGAGTGTCATGATGATGGACTGCAGGATGCAACATAAAAACCACAAATTATGAAGATACGCCCTTCTGTCATTGATGTGGTGAAGGTTCAATTAAAATGAGCAGGATGATGCCAATACACGATGGGGCTGAGAAAAAGAGCATCTGTTCTCGGGAAATTGATTATGACAGGTTGATGAAGGGCTTATTTACATGACTGGGTACAGAATAGATGCAATATGCCATTTACAAACATCAGCTTCTTCACCCAATAGACCAAGGAAAGGTGTTGGAAAGGTACATCACAGGGTTGCAATGAGTTTTCATTTACAAAAATAACATTAAGAGCTAGGACACTTATTATTTATAAGATTTTCCTCTAACTTTCACTACCATGTTTCTTTCATTTTTTTTTTTGTCGCTTTTATTAACCAAAATTAATATCCTGGTGAACTTTAAAGCACTGCTGGGAGAGATGGTACACCCATGTAGTTATTGCCTATCTCCCACACTCTATCTATCTATACCTTCTGATGACCTGATACTATATATACATGTATGTACATGTACTTAGACAATGACCCAGACAGGGTTAATTATCTGAGCAGGTGTATCAATGACGGGTCCCCTTTAGATGAACCGAGATGATCTTCACATCTGATGGTATTAGGACAGACAATAATATTAAACACTGCATGTATTATTTTTGCAGAGACAAAGTTGCAAAAATGACTCTACAGGCCCGTCTTCACTATCTCGAGATTCCCAAATATCCAGCTATTTGAACTATCCCGATCGCAAACTATAGAACGAAGTAGCAAATTAGCTGGATAGTTGGTCGGGATAATATCCCAAGATATCTTGGGATAGTTTGCAAAATATCCTACTATTTGGCAAAATATCCAGTTATTTGTCCCGTGCGTCTTCACTAGACCGAAGATTCGGAATACACGCTAAGTTGAGCAAAATATCTCGAGTTAATTGCTCAAGGTCGAGTTTCAAGTTTCGAGGTCGAATCTCGAGATAGTGAAAACGCGATTTGTTACTTCGGGATTATTTCCCAAATAGCGGGCTATTTGGCAATCTCGAGATATTTGGCAATCTCGAGATGATGAAGACGCACATATTGATAAGAATTCTCGCTACCCCAAATAGCGATTCTGCCGAGATCCGGGGAAAATCCTGAAAACGCGCATTGCATTATGGGATAGCTTTTCGACATTACAGCTTCCTGTGCAGGCGTTCGTGATCACAACCCTCTCTTTCACGGTAGAGTTTAACGGCCTTTTGTGCTAAAGTCACTAATTCTGCCCCAAGCTTTCCATTGCATATTATAATCTGTACAAATTACACTGATAGGCATCGATTTTAGCGTGCGTGAAAACTCTGCACAGCGAACACAGGCGCTAGCGCAAGCGGGATGGGACTCTATACCGGAAGTTGTAGTGACGACCCGAGAGAGTGAAAATTACCTCGTCTCGCGAATTTCGAGATTTTCGTACCTATTTAGGGTAGCGAGAATTGGCAAGCTTATCATTATTATCGGATACATACAAAACAGAAACCTCAGGTCTTGCAAAGAGTCTCTCCTTACTATCCCTCAAATAAATACAAAATTTGATCGGCCACATTTTTTCACATTGCATCAGTAGAGTTTTGGTCTAAAATACACATTTAATGGGTCATGCTCTTTTCAGGTTGCACTAGTAGAGCTTTGGTCTGAATTGCCAGAAAATATCAAAACTTGTGATACTGTTGACAACTTTAAAACACCTCTCAAAACATTTCTTTATAGAAAAAAAATTGTGCCGATGTCAACCGATGGCTAAAGGAAGCATACTGTGCTATCCTCACTCTTCTTGTCCTCTTTATTTTCCTTTCCTTCTCTACATTTCAACGTACGTACATTAAAAATACTGATTAGTTTGTTACATCATTGATCTTTAGTGAAGAGTGTAGTGTGCAATTTTGCAGAGCCGAGAGCACTGTAAAGTTGGCATCTACATGTACACATGAAATATGATACCTCTATGTCAATGTAGGATACATATCAGTTCTGTTCTGATTATCCACAATACAATGCATGGCTTACGTGTAGGTCTATACAGTGCGTCCCAGAAAAAAACGATACCGAGAACTATCGATGTTTTACCATAACTTAATCACAATTATAATTAATAAATGACACATATTTGGAAAGCTTAGATTCTCCTCTTTCATTAGATGCAACTCATATGATTCATATCTCACGCATGAGTGATTAAAAGCAATTTGAAGAGAGAAAACCAAAAAGTCATTTGGCGGGCGGTATCTGAATTTCAAGGGGAAAATCACATTTCTAGAAAGTTTAATTTCTGCCCTTTCAAATGACACCTCAATCAAGAAAAATGGGCCAGGAATATGTTTAAAGTAAGGCTTGCATTTCCATAAGTTGATCAAACAAGTTCGTTTTTCACTGGCTGCCTGCCGTAGCCACGAACAGAGTTGACAAAAGACTTAACTCCGTTTTGTTGACGATCAGCCATGCACAAAGAAGACAAAAGACCTGATGCATGGCTGATCTTCAACGAAACGGATTTAAGTCTTTTGTCAACTCTATTTGTTGCTACGGCAGGCAGCCAGTGAAAACGAACTCTTTTGATCAAATTATGGAAATGCAAGCATTACTTTAAACAAACAAAACTTTGTTATTCCTGGCTCATGTTTCCTGATTGAGGTGTCATATGAAAGAGCAGAAATTGAACTTTCTGGAAATGTGATTTTTCTCCTTAAAATTCAGATACCGCCTGCCAAATGACTTTTTGGTTTCCTAGCTCTCTTCAAATTGCTTTTAATCACTCATGCGTGAAATATGCATCATATGAGTTGCATCAAATGAAAAAAGAGGATCTAAGCTTTCCAAATATGTCTCATTTATTCATTATAATTGTGATTAAGTTATGGTAAAACATGGATAGTTCTCAGTTGCGTTTTTTCTGGGACGCACTGTATATACTGCATACTGGTACCTGGAAAGCATATTGTTTACTTGCGAATCATATCTCTCTAGCCCATTCACAATTCACATTAACCAAATCTATTGCGTATTAAGTTTCTGGGTGAGGGGGGGGGGGGCTAAATTCACAGAATGCTTCCGTTTTGATTTGGTCAATGCAATCTGATTCATTATCAGCCACACGCTTTGTGATAGCATTAATTGATACATCACAAACTGATGTTAGTAAGAGCAGCGTACACGGAACGTCTCACTCAAATAAACATATTCCACTGCTAATCTGTTACATATTGATAGCTCAACGTAGCATATACATTTCCATCTGAAGGGGGTAAATTTAGAGAATGCTTTTGATAAGGTCATATATTATTCAATCAGATTTATTATCGGCCACATACTTCATGTTATCGCTGGTGCACTGACAAACCGTTTGTTGTAGGAATAATATATCTGGTCGGAATGAAATATCTTCCTCACCCTCCAATTCACATACGCAATTTCTAGTGCTAATATCAAAATGCTGCAGACTTAATTAATACTCAATAAGTACAGCCTGTATTTCCAGTGTGAAAGGTCAGCTTCAATTAGTCATGTAGACCTTGCATTGACCTTGCATTGACCTGAGCATTGACACACTGTTTCTCGTAAAGAGTAGTACAAGTGTTCGAGAGGTGGTATCTTCCTCAACTTCTTATTTACATAAACAATTTCTATCACTGCTATCATATGACTACAGATCGAGTTACTGCTAAGATTGTGCACACAGTATGCGCAGGCAAGCACTGAATCCAATGACCAGGGTAATAATATATCTGTAAAGCGCTTTATTAGAGACATTGTATTAAGCGCTATATAAAAGCGGAATATTATATTTATTAAGTTAATATAATATATACAATTTTCATGTTCAGGTTGGAAGGCAGGGGTAAGGAGCTTATTTACACAATGCTTAATGTTGATTAGGCTAAGGTTTTATATTTAATGTGATTTATTATTTCTGATATAAATGTAAATTGCGACATTGTCAATACAAATATCTCTTGCTCAAGCTCCTGTTCATATTTGACACATTCTATAGTTTCAGTATGATGGGGAGGGGGAGGGGAGGGGGAGGGGGAGGGGAGGGGGAGGGGGTGCATTTACAAAATACAGGACCTTGTAATATCTCTGACAAGATCTAGTGTTGTACCTTCGGTATGAAAGAGAAGGGTGCTTAAATTGATAAAAGACATACCTTGTGATATTGTTGGTGCATTGACAAACTGCTTGAAGTAGGAATAGTACAACCCGGACTCTGTTCGGAAGGAAATCTCTCGCTCCACCTCCTGTAAAAATGATTGAAAGGGACACGAGAATGCCAGATGATTGAGATACATGACATGATAGATTAACACACTACTGGGTAAGAGTACACAGATAGAGATATACATGTATGTACGGTGTACTTTCATAGACCAACCAAGAGCTATTAAAGGCACTTGTGCATACAAAAATGAAGATACACTGCTTCTATGTATGCCTGTCAAGACTCAGGAGGATACAAATTGAATGAAAATATAGTACCAGTACATGTGTAATTGTAATCCAGGGAAGAGGAAAAAACAAGTTAGAAGCATTAGTAGGAAGAAAGATAGAATGAAATAAAGACTGTGCATGAGTAGGATCAAGGAGATATCTATGAGGTATAGGCATGGCATAAAGAGTATGAGGATTTATGACAAACAGTAACTATGACAATGAGAGTGATAATTAATTACAGCGATAGATTAGGAGATAAAGGAACTGGAAATGCATCAAGTTAAAATCACATGGAGAGAGTCTATATTTACAAAAATAAACAGAATGGAATCTCTTGGCGAATTCTATCAGAAGAAATGAAAATTTAGGATTAACAACTACTCTTCCACAAAATTGTAATGTCGAAATAGACAATGATTAGACAAAAATAGACATGTACTATTTCAAGACGTCAAGATGTCAAGTGATATGACTAGATTGGTAAAAGTACATGCTTTGATTTCACTGCCCATATCAAGATCATATTTCAACAATGAGTACAGCTGAAGATATCAGAAGTTGTCAAAGGTTAATCCCTTGCTGACAGGAAATCTGTCAAAACCTAGGCAAGAGAAGACAACTGAACTGTCTAATCTTTGATCTTGAATGGAACACTGTAAATGATGAACATCCAATCCACATTATTTGGTTTTGAAATGTCCTGTTTTCATCAATCAAATATGGAGGTAAATAGATAAATTATCTCTTTTTTTTCCTACACTGTACGTATGTTTTGGTAATCTAAAGAGCCGATATATACATGTAGGAATAAAGGGATTTATTGGAAAATTTAGCATTCACTCCATTCTCAGCCCTTTAAAACACTTTTTTTTTAAAGAGGGCCACATTGTAGATAGATTTTTTTAAAGAGTCTTCCAAATCATCATTCCTACAGTGTATCCATCAGTAACCCCCCCCCATGCTCTCCCTCGGAATGTAATTCAATGTACACTGTATGTACCAGTATGTACAGTGTACATGTATATTGAAATAGCACAATAATGTTAAAATAGCACAATAAATTAAACAGAAAATAAACCACTCTCTGCTCCACTTTACACATCATAAAACATGTGAACTATTATGTGCATTGACAAACATCCTGAAATGTCAAATCTAGAAGAAAGAAGAAGAAAGTAAAAGAGGATAAGGAACACACACAGTTATACAAATATACATCATTGGAAACGTAAACACTTCACCCAAATAGTGCATTGACCATGTGTGCACAATGTCCTGCTGTGTCAATTTGACAAGCGGATGATGGATACAAAAGATGTTTACATTCTAGGGTCTTGGCACACAACAGTGGATGATCAATCCATGTATCCCAAGTCCCTGATCCAGGTAAGTAATTGGGGTTTATTGCCGTTTGGTCTAAACCAGATCGTCTACTACCCAATTAGTCTATTCCCATATTCCCAGCCCGTCTACTATCCACATGGTCTAATAACCATTTCATCTACTTACCATTTGGTCTAATGGCCATTTAGGATAATAGTCATTTGGTCTAATCTAATATTAGTCTACTACCCATCTGGTCTATTGTTCATTTAGTCTGATAACCAGTTAGTCCAATACCCAGTTTGTCTAATGCCCAGTTTGTCTAATGCCCACTTTGTCTACCATCCATCCATAAGGTCTAATAATCAATTGATGATAATTATTTATGATTAAATTATTTTTAGACCAAGTGGATAGTAGACGGACTGGGTGTAGACCATATGGGAATAGACTAATTGGGAAGTACATGTGGACGAACTGGCTGTAGACCAAATGACAATTCACCAGTAATTGGTATACATTAATAATGTATACCAATTACTGGTGAATTCCTAGTATACATGTAGTTTGTAGGCACAAACCCTTATCAGTTGCAATGTGTAGCAGAGTGTCTGAACCATGAGACTACAGTATGTAGCTGCCAAAGACTGACCATTTATACATAAAGTCAAGCTCAATGATTCATGGATTTATCTTCAAGTGTAAAATAGAGTCTGTACAAGCAGACTATTTAAACAGGTACACAGGTTAGGATTACAGACAGGGAAACAAGAGTGTCTGGAGCATTCAAAACAAATAATGGAAGTCATGCTAGGTGTTTGGGATTTGAATGATCCACAAAGTACCTGGAAGGATTAGTAATAATAAGCTCATCTCTAATGTAACAATGATCTGACAAAATTGAAATGAAATTCAAAAGCACACAGAGGATATAAGAAAGTTTGTTTTGCTCCCTCTTTACGGGTGAACAATGACAAGCAAATGGTGATGCAACCAATAAAGAAAAAATAAATACAATAGGTACTAACTAGGGTAGAGGTAAGTGCAAGAAAAAAAAAAGAGAATAAAAACGGAGAAAAAAGGTGTAAAAAAACAAGGTATTAAAAAAAGGAAAAAAAAAAGTTTTTAAAAAAAGGAGAAACAAAATGGAAAACTACAGGTTTTCAACTTATACAAATTGATATTGATTTCCCATTCATAGGCTAACGGAAATCAGTTCATTTGAACAGTCAGACTGAGTATGACCTTGTACAAGTGTTACAAGTGCATACCTGATGGTCAAACATCATTCATCAGAGGAAGAGATATTATAACCAGAGGTATTGACACCCTGACCCCTCCCATAGCATTCTCCCCAGACAAGTCCTCACATTAGGCCTAACAAAAAAAGATGTTGTATTGCCCTTTAGGTGCCAAAACATGGGTCGGTCGGTCGATTTCATTTGTTTCTATTTAGGCCTTAGGTAACAACATGTACAGCATCTGCAGAGAATTCTGTGCAAGTGGTCTTATGGTGCCCTTCTGGCTCTCAGCAGACAATGTCTGACCCTGTAGAAGGTGCACACCTGAATGTCAGAACACTACCCAATATAAATGCAGGAAGGGACTAATCAGTGTTGATGGTGTCACCTTGAAAGAAATGCCCAAAACATTCCCATGAGACATGTCCTTACATTGGGTCAAAACTCACCAATGCTTGCTCACAAGAATAAGCCTGCAAGTCTGAAGATCATGTAAGTAATAACAAACAGGTGTGACCTGCAGGTAGGTAACACACCATCCAATTTAGGAGGGGACTAATCTGTGATGACACATTGCTCTTAAGAGTGATCCATCTCCCAGAGAATTCTCTTGAGACATATCCTTAAATAAGGTCACACCCATTACTAGGGCCTAAACGTACATGTACAGGGACCCGTTTCATAAAGCCTCTTTTCAATGACAAATGACCAAAATCCGTGACAAATCTGCTGATAACCAATCAGAAGCAGGGATTTCAGTAGCTTATAACAAAAACTGTTATTTGTCACTGATGACAAGTTCTGTGAAACGCCCCCCAGGTGTATATTATTTCTTCAGAGCCAGAATGACATACATTAACTCATATTATTTAACACAGGTTTAATGCCATTCTGGCCCTCAACTCAACAGATAATGTGTTCATCTGACCTTGTGGCAGGTTCAGACTAGCATATTAAACACAACTTCTCTAGTTTAATAGGGATGAACTTCTCAAAGTAACAAGATATCCCTCTGTTGCATTTTCATGAGACTTGTCCTTACATTTAATATAAGGTCAAAGCACTTCACACCACAATGTCTGTAAATGTTCCATAAATCATGGACATGGACAGCTTGCACAAGTGCAATCCACACAGTTGCAGTAAAAAAAAATACCTGAAAATGCACTTTATGCAAACTGATTCAGCTCCTGGAGCTAGCAATGAAGATGCACTTTGATACAGTATTTTTCACAATGCAATAAAAAGAACTGAACAAGCAAAACTAAAACTTTATCTAAATTTTTAAGAAAAAAAAAGGCCCTGCCTTGATACTGAGTATAATTTCAACCACAACAAGTCTTCATACGAGCCTTCTGAATTGTTTCTGTGAAGAAAAAAGTTATACATACTGTATCATGCCAATTATGTTTGTCACAGGAACATTGTAAACAGTACTCACCTTGATGTGTGTAAACCAGAGAGTGTTTTCATGTAGCATGTAGAGTAACCACGCATAGACCACGCCCACACCCACCCCAACACCAACACCAAAGGCCAATATCAACCAATCAACCCATCCCCATGGTTTCCTCATCCTCCTCATCCTTCCATTGGACATCCTCCCATTCCTCATCATCCTTCCATTCCTCTGGCCAGGCGGATGACCATTGGATTTCACTGAATGTCCATTCTTTGCAATGTCTGATTGACCAACACAGTCTGTTTGACCGACACTATTTGATTGACCGACACAATTTGATTGGCCGACGCTGTTTGATTCTCGGAGTTTTCCATTGGTGTGTCCACTGGCGGATCCAACGCTTTCACAGCAGTTCACAGGAGTTTTGCCATTTACAGAGGGTACTGAAGTTTGGACCATCTTTTCCATTTTTGTATCTCTCAAGGTTTCACTCGGTGCCAATTTTTCTTCCATGTTGATTTAATGATGATCCACAGTCGTCAGTATTCCAGTTATCGAATGCAAATCAAGATCTTTGTTGAAAAAGATTTAGAAAATAACATTAAACCCATAGTCCCATACATACATTACAAAAAATGAATCGTACATACAAATGTACATTGGATGGAACATGTTCTGTCACCTCCCTGCTATTACTAATCAATTCCATGTACAGTGTCCAAAAATAAACACAGCTCTACATGTATTTGCATGAAAGATTTACACCGTAGACAATAGTAAACTGGAGCAGATCACAATGTAAAAGAGCATGAATACCACCAGAATATGAAGATTTGGAAAA